GTTGAGGGGTTTCTCAGTTTGGATTGGCTGTGACCATTTCTGTGAGAGATTGTCTCGACTGATGTTTGATACTGGAGGGCCCAGCTCACTGCGGAAGTAGCTTATCTAAGGCAGGTGGTCCTGGGTTGAATAAGGACATTAGCTGAACATAAGGCCGAGAATGGGCCAGAGAGCAATGCAATAAGCAGCACTCTTCCATGGTTTCTGCTTTAGTTCATTAGTTCATGCCTTACTTCCCTCAGTGATGTACTATGACCTTGAAGTAAAAGCTGAAATAAACCCTTGACTACACACACACACACACACACACACACACACACACACACACAGAGAGGTACAGTGCAATGTCACCATGTTTGAAAACTAAATGCACATGTAAAAGGTAAATTCATAGAATTTGACTAACTCCTCCAGAGTATTTTTGACACACACACACACACACAGAGGCCAATGGTCACAGGTCCAATTTCTCTATGTACTGTGCTATTTGCTCTTGTATGCATCTGTCAAATTGAGGTGAGGTACAAGTACATAAAATTAGAAAAATAGCAACCTTTATATTTTTGTCTGTGGGTTCCAACATAAAACCTTTAACATAATAGTTTGTCAGAAAGTGCTTGTGAGATTAAACATTGAACATCATCATAAAGATAACACTAGTTACAAGAGCCATAAAACCAACTCCTCAGTGTTGCCCCCTCCATTCTCTCCTGCCAAATGCTTGTAATTCTCCATCAGTTTTAGTTTTATCATAGAACTTAGCATTTATAATTTAAATAATGTTATTTTACGTGTATGGGTGTTTTGCCTGCTTATATACAAGTGCACACATGTGGTGCAATGCTAGCGGAGGTTGGAAGAGGCAGTGGATCCCCTGAACTGAAGGTATGGATGGTTGTTAGCTGCTGTGTGGGTGCTGGGAACTGAACCCAGGTCCTCTGCAAGAACAGCCAGTGCTCTTAACCACTGAGCCATCTCTCCAGCCCCAGTGTTTATAATTTTTGTGTTCTTATCCCCTCCGCTTTCCACCTGGATGCTAGTTTTATGAAGTTCCCGCGCTTTGCCTGAGATCATATCTCTTCCATGCAGTTTATTTTCAGCCCCTGGAAGGGCACCTTGCCCTCAGAAATTGCCCAGTGAGTAACGATGCAATGTAATTTATTTCTTACACTGACAGTCAGACAGAGGACATCATGAGATGCCAGGATAATAGGCATTAACTTTTCAAAACCTTTTCACGAGGATAGAGAAGTGACTGAACACACCCCAATTTTGATTGCTGAAAGGTTTTCCAGATGTCAGAATTGTGGAAAGTTTTTCAACTATATTTTAACATCCAGCAGTTTAGAACATAAAGACATCTAAAGGTCAAGTTAGAACACCCAAGCAGTGACCCTATTTATACCTTAGGAGTCAACTTGAGGTAAACTCTACTGATTTTTATCAGTGATGCTTCATCACTCAGTTGACAACGTAACTGCTCTTATGGAAACGCCAATCCTTTGTCTTTGTTTAATTATTCTAAGAGTTTTTAAAAAGAAGAATTTAGGCCGAGAGTATAGTTACCTATATTTCTCCCACAGCAGGAGTCAGGTTTTTGTTTGTTTCTAATAGTCTCAGTGTGATTAGTCCTCAGCACTAGCAGAACTGCTTGAAACTATAAAGTGATATTTCAACACAAAGCTTGTGCTTTGGGGTTTTAAGGTAAAGGAGAAGTATTGACATGATGATCTATTATATTTCAATGACTTATTACAGAAGCACAATTAAGCCCCCCCCCCTGGTTTTTTGTCTTTTGGAGACAGGGTCTCCCTGTAGCCCCAGCTCTCCTGGAATTCACTATGTAGACCAGGCTGGCCTTGAACTCACAGAGATCCGCCTGCCTCTGCCTCCCAAGTGCTGGGACTACAAGTGTGCGCCACCACATCCAGCACAATTAGGCCTTTTAGGAAAAATAGTAAATACATTTTCTGTGTCTTCCTGTTAGACACACATTTCTGGGAGAGAGGGGAAAACAGCCAATGGTAGGGGCTAGCTGCCTTTAGGCTCAGGATTTAGGCTACAAAATAATTTCTCCTTCCCCGGGTTACTTCTTATGGTTTAGAACTAACTACCTGTATAAGGACAAATGCCAACTGAAAGTCTTCCAATATCCCATGTATTGTACTCCCAGAGATACAGAGATAAGCCCATGAAGAATCAAAACAAGGGTCATGGGCCCTGTAGAAAGGCAGCCATTACAATTTACTCCAAGTCATAGGAAGCAGCAGCGGTTGGTGAAGATGAGATGTCCTGTGTGTGGGCAAGTGCCTGGAATGGTGTGTGCTGGAGCCAGCAGAGCGGGCAGGGCAGTGGAGACAAAGGAGACGGATAGCATGGAATGCTCTCACAGGTCCTTGGGGATGGTGCTCAAAAGAAAAGGCATCCTTTATCTACTTTTGCATGCTGCCTTTCAGTGCCCAGAAGCAGCACATCCCAAGAGTGACCGTCCAACTGAAAAGCTTATGGCTGAGGTGTAGCCAGGTGGGTCCCCTCTGGGAAAAATAGCAATAGCTATGGTGACATGCTTCACATATGGGAACAGCACTGTCCCTTTGAGTGAATCCTCAGTGACTTCATCAACATTCACTGTCCCATTATTTGTGCAGTGTCTGCTCTCCTTCACCTAGACTGTAGACTGCATGAAACCACACACTGTCTCCTTTGCTGTCACTGCTGCACCCTCAAAGCACAGACCCCATAGCCGGCATGTTTGTATTCATTTAAGAGAGAAATGAATTTATGAGTGCTTAGAAGGCAATTAGAAAACACTTGATCACATTTTCACTTATAAAATATCACTTAGTGTGTGACTAAGTATAAGGGTATCACACTGGGGCTAGATATATGCTCAGTGGTTAATAGCTCATACTACTCTTGAGGAGAACTGGAGTTTGACTCCCAGCACCCATGTCCAGCAGTTCACAACAGCCTGTAACTACAGTCCAGGGGATATTACACCTTCTTCTGGCCTCTGAAGGCACCTGTGCTCACATGCACAAACCTACCACATGCATACATATACACACATAATAAAAAAGTTAAAATAAGTTAAAAAAGAATATTGAGTGAAGTAAAAAGATGAATTATAAAAGTGAGTAATAGATGTGGTTGAATCTATTGAAGAATAGATTTTTAAGAGATCCAGGAGAGTCTTATAATCCTCTGTACTGATGGGTAGAAAGAAGAAGGCAGGAATGAAGTTTAAATACCCCAAAATGTCAGTTGTTATCCTGTGTGACTTCCTAAACCTCATGACATTGAATTCTGAAGCCATAAACAAAGCTTGTGTGGGTCAGCGTTCCATCACTATAACAAATACCTGAGGTCATCAATTTGTAAAGATGAAAGGTGCATTTTGGTTCATGGTGTTAGAGGTTTTAGCCATGGTCAGCTGGCCCAGTTGTCTTAGCAAGAATGATCAAGACATTTGCTTAAACCACTGCAATTTGAACCTCGACTTACCCAACTTTGAAGTGGTTCCTCATGGAAGTTGTACCATGTAGCTACATTTGACTAGCTGTATAGACTGAGCCCTGGAACGTGGTCTCAAAACTTAACAATTGGTTTCCTGAGGCTTTTGTACTAATTTTTGCAGAAGATGGTATGTTATCATTGGGATCAGAGATTCCCATACTTTCACTGTGAGTGATGCTCTGTGTAAAAAATCTGTCTGTTTTCCTCAGCTGCACTTTCCTAAAGTCCTCACTGCCATTTTCACCGCTTCCTTCTCTGGGCTCTTAAAGCTGATGTCACAGATGAATCGCTATTGCATGTTGTATATGTTGCTTCCTGCCTTGCTCTGCACTCAGTCGTGAGACTAAGACAAAGAGTTAGTAACCCTAGTGCACCCATTTGTAAGTAGCTTAGAAGTGAGCTCATACCCTATTCCAACTTCAGGACTTCTAGAAAACAGTTTCCAAATATCTTTATCTTTGGTATGCAATGAGATCCAGATATTTGTGTCTTCTTCCCCCAGATCTCATGATTTCTCCAACTTGAAGTTCCTTCCTCCTTTTCCCTTACTTGGTGACTAGCCATAATGCCAAGATTTCTTCCTAGGTTTCTAAGTTTCTGACATTCATCTGGTGATAAATTGTAACCTTTTCAAGACTGGAGTTCATCCTATACCCACTGCCTGTTTTCCTTTTATGACAAGGTATACCTTTTCACCCATAGACAAATGTTAGGGCTCTTGCTTTAGCCTCAGGGTTGCATGCCATCATTCTCATTTGCCTAGCTTCTGAGAACTGTCTGAGCTCCACATCCCCTGCTACCACTCATTACTTACATACTGAAGTCCTGAGATCTTGTACTGTGATTGATAGCAATCCACTCCCCAAAGACTCACACTCAGTTTCTATCATAGTGGAACACTGAGAAGCAGCTGGCCATCTCTAACTACATTTCCTGCCACAGCCCCTTGCACTGAGTTGGGTTGGGAACATAGACTAAATTTTTTCTTATGGAATATATAAAGAAGAGATGTATATTGCTTCTAGCCTGGCCCACAATCTCCACAGAGCACAATGATGTCACCATCTAGGGAAACTTGGTGATATTAAAGTGACAATTTCTGTCAACCTGTGTGCTTGACTGACTCTTTGAAACAGAAACTACCCTTCTCTGTACATGTGTAGAAGTGAGTCTCTAGTCAGTTAAGTCACTGTGCCAAACTTACTGATGTAATATGTAATCCTTCTAAAACTACCGAGGCCACATGTAGAGTTTAGGACCTTCTGAATGGATACTGACCCACAGGGCAAGCAGTTCGCCTGAACTCTGTAGTTACAGATCCTTTCTGCTACCTTTGCTGGGCCTGCTGGCTTGATCTGAAGTCTCTACTTCTCTGGGTCAGCCTTGTGTTACCTTCAAATGATTATGCTGCCTCATCCCAGGTATCAGTTATGGTATACTGTAAGATATTTCTAAAAGTAGGAACAAACAGGGAAACCAAATACCTCCTTGGCCACAGGTTTGTGAACACTCTGTCCACGTTGTCCACCCTGAGAGCTGACAGTTGACCACACATTCCACTAAACAGGGAATGCTCATTCTCTGGGGCTTTTCCAGATTACGCTGCAATGAAACAAGACACAACTTTATTATGAAATCAAATCCCTATCCTTTTATGGGTGGGGATATCCTTTATTCCACATTTTGACAGGAGAACAAATACCCTTTTTTATAAATTGATGGTTACAAAAAATGATTGTCCTTATTTCACAAGTGAAATTTTGTGATCTAAAAATTTTTATTATAAAACTCTGAACTGTAGCAAAGACCTGCCCTTCAGCTACTGGTTAAGTAGGCCATCACATGATAGAGAGATCTTCCATGTTGTTCAATCAGCAAAGAAGTAGGAAGATGTGTCAGCACTCTACCCAGAACCCTGAGATGGACTGACCGAACACGGAGAGCTCAAAAGTAATAGTAAGGCTAGCATAGCATGCAAAAGAGGAACAGAGATGCCAGGCATATTGACAAACACCTTTAACCCCGGTGCTAGGGGGGCAAAGGCAGGTGGATCTCTGTGAGATTGAAGCCAGCCTGATCTACATAGTGAGTTCCAGACCAGCTGGGGCTACAGGGAGTTCCTGTCTCAAACAAACAGACAAACAAACAAACAAAGGAACAAAGATAAATAAACAACTTACCTGAAGCCAAAAATGACCAACTGGACTAAAAATACAACATAATTCTAACATGGGGACACATTGGTAGTACACTTTACTTTCCTCTCTGAAATTAGTGTTAGACAAAATGTACACATTTTGTTATGACCAAGGTAGAATATATTTTAGTGAGGGAATAAATGTCCTAAGAAATGCAAAGAATGCTGCTGTGTGAGATGTATAACACAGAGTTTGTTTAATTGGGAAAACTCTGGCCTCCAACACATGTTAAATAGCAGCCGTACATCTTTGCCAAACTAAAGTTAGTTATTACAGCATGATCGCTTTCTAAGTGGGTAAAATAGAAAGTACCATATCTATGACTATTTGTGTGATACAGATGTGCTAGCTAGGTTAATAATTTAGGATTGCTTTAAATTGACGGTCTATAAATATTTGTTTGACATATGCCATTTAGAAAACAGAGAAACTGATCTTATTAGTGAATAATTTATATCTTTCTTTACATCAAAAGGACATATTTACTACATATATAAGGAATTCAGAACTAGTAGCTAGTGAGGTTCGTGAACAACACAGAACGAAACAGCTCTTCTGAGTTGTTTCAGGAGAACAGCATGCTCTTACTCATTAACTCTCCCTTACAGTGCTCTTCATTTACGTGTGGGGAAGGGATGCCAAATCCTCTGGAACAGGTATGAGTGTACCAAACGTTTACTTGGAACTTCTGCTAATGGGTGATTTCTTTTCTGAGATAGCCAATGTCTTAGAGGCAGAATTGATGAAATAAATTGTTAAAATAAGGAAACATCAGTTGGCCCACAGCATTCCACACTATGTTAGCTACTCTCTGAATGCTGCCAATGAAGGCATCCAGTCCAGGCAGTCTGGTCCATAGTGTCCTGGTTGAGGTCTGTATTGCTGGTTTAAATAGCACATTGCGACAGTAGAGTTGGTGTAGGAGAGGTTAGGAAATTACTGTTTTGTTTTAATTTCTGTGTATTTATTCTACGTGTGGTCAGGCAATTGGGGCAAATCATTTTTTTCTGATTGATAATTTGTTACAGAAATTTCTGTAACCACCTGTTTTTCCTGGCACCCTATCTTCAATTTATTCTAAAAATTGTTTCTGTGATGCTTACAGTAAGACAGCATACCCATTTCTGTTAAACTGCTCCCAGGGTGCTTTTCATTTATATTTGCAAAGGGATGCCAACTTCTTTGGAATGGGTCTGACTACAGTTTTTCTCCAAATTCCATAGTTAGAAAAATTTAGAACCTCCTAATTCGAAAATTGATATGGATGTCTTTGACATAGACTGAGAAGAAAGGAGCAGTTGTACTGTTTACCTGGGCATTTGTTGAAATTGTCAGTGTAGTCCAATATTAAGTGTCAACATCTAACTTATGTGACAGAACATGTTTATCACATGAGCAAAGGAAGTGCTTGCCCAGTACAGGCAGTCACATCACAGTAGTAAAGGCATGAATGCCAACAGCTTGTTGGAAAGCAAGAACATATAAATAAGTTCTTAGAAGTAATGAATCCATTACTAAATGTCCCATTTCGCCAGTGCAAAATGACATTTCTCCATTATTTTGAGTAAGTCCAAACCAGTACATATAACTGTACTGAACAGTGCCTTTTAAATCAGAGCCTGCAATCTCTATTAAACTCTGTAAAGGCTGCAGACCAAGGTTAAATGATCCATTACCTGCTCACAGTGCTCCATGCTGACTGGCTTGCCATCACTGCGTACACAGCTGAGTAGGCGGGTCCTGACGCCCTGGCCACAGGAAGCATTTTCACTCAGTTGGCAAGTGCTCCATTCTATAGGCAGAAGATCACAGATACCGAGTTTCAAAATTATGGCCATGTGAGCAAACTACACCAAAGTTCTGGTGATCTGTACTGGTGGTCTGAGGAAGAGAGTCCAAAGTTCTGGTGATCTGTACTGGTGGAGGAAGAGAGTCCACAAACAATCTTACATCTTTCCAAATGGTTTTAGAAATCCTTTTTGCAATCATTTTGTTAGAAAACAAATAAACATGTAAACAAATTAATTGAACGCAGCAAAGTAATTTCCAGGGGTAAAATAAAACAAAAACAAGACAAAACCCAGAGTGGTTTGTTAGAAACCATCTCGCCCCGACTATGGTAGGACAGGAAAGACACTAACCACAACAGTAAAGAAACACCAGTTTGCAGAAAACTATTTGTTGTAGATAATTGAAAGAGAAAACATTAAGACATGACATATGACACCAGCTCCTGTGGCCTGCATGTTTGCACTCCTCCCACCCCCATTCATATACTGACACCTTAACTCCTAAGGTACTAGTTTTAGGGGATGGAGCCTTTGGATGGTGATTAGATCATGAGGTTGGAAAACTCAGAAATGGGATTACTGTCTTTGTAAGAGACTTTTAAGCGCTTATCTGGCTCTCTGTCATGTGAAAGTATTCCAAAGGTACCATCTCTGGGTAGGGGCCCTTGCTTGAAATCCAGTTTGCTAGCACTACAAGTCTCCAGAACTGTGAGAAACAAACTTCTGTGGTTCACAAGCCACGCAGCATATGCCAATTTGCTGTAGCAGATTGATTGGATTAAGACAACTGTCTTTGGTGTAAACTTTACAGTGTTTTTAAGGAATAAATCCAAGTGCTGCAAGAGAGAGATAATAGAAAGGAAAGAAGCAAAGACATACAGAAATTTATTTTTCAAATCATTCTATCATGAGGGAAAGTTTTATAGATTTGGCTATTGGTGTTTTAAACTAGACTCTGTGTAAGGTAATTTTCCTCTAATTAATTTGCCTTAAAAAACTGTTTTTGTTGGTGTGTGTGTGGAAAATATCCTTGAACATGTCAATGAAAACCTCTAATAGATTTTTCTAAATTTGGTAAATGATCTAAGAGTTTAATAAGACTAACACATTAATGGATGGTAAAACCAGTCTTTAAAATACATGTTTTTTTTCAATAGATCAAATTTCATTAAAATTTTGAAAAACTACTATAAAAATTAAAAATCTAAAGAAAAAGGGCAAATCTGCCACACTGTTAATCACCCATGAAAGAACCAGACATCTGCACAGAATTTGCCAGGTTTTCTCCATGTGTGCAATCTCAGCAGTTCCAATGTGTACTGATCAAGGAATCTTTTTTTTTATTGCAAAGATGATTGTTTTACTTCTGCAGGAATATGGTGTTGTGTTCCGAAGCACCGGATCTGTACTTAGGTTTAACATGGTTCCACGTTGGTGGCATTTTTGTATCTCCACTGCTGGGAGGAATGGTAGGTAGCAGATAAATGCAAATGATTATTCTTTTGTTTTAGACTCTGACCAGACATCCGGAGTGGCTAAACAACTCATCCGATGTGACTCTTACATCAGATGCCTCTCAAATATCCCTGACTGGTCAGGCCGCCTTAATTTTTTAAAAAAATTTTGTACAGGGAAAACATCACAAACATGAATATCTGAAATAACAAGTCATGAGACAAATCACACTGCTCTGCAGTATCCTTTGAAGCCATTTTGTTTTTCAGAGAAAATCTACAAAATTCTGAATCTGCATGCCAAGAATGGGTACTCATTTCCATGAAGGGCAACTGGAGCTACACCCTCAGCCTTTCATGAACACAGTACATTCTCCTCTGCCTTCCTCTCCCAAGAAGGAAAACATACACAAGCATTCTCCCATTAGGCAATGCTCAGGGAAGACAGTGAGGTAGTGGATTTCAACTATACCTGTTAGATTGTACTGGAACTGGAAACAGTTTTCATTAAGGAGACAAGGCCGCACTTGTGAGTCTTCCCCACAAGGTCTTGAATTCAGTGGGGGCCTCAGCAGATGTCGAACTCTTCTTTGCATGGCATGGGGGTCACATGACTATGAAAGCCAAGAGCAGGGTAAGATAGCACATGGTTAGTGATAAACTATGCATGATTATATGCATACACAGTTGTATAGAACAACCACAGGGAGGAGCCTATAGCTACACCTATGAGGCTATTGCTACACTTGCAAGTGTTACATCTTGTGTTTAGAACAGAAAACCATTCTGTGATGCACTGTAGACTGTCCTCTGACTTTTCACTTTATTTGAAAACTCTAGAAGGATACATTTTTATATTACATATGCAATTAAGCACATCAAGACTACTTTCACCAATAGACTCACTCTGTGCTTTTCACATAGTTGACTAAAAAGTGATAAACCAATATATTTTAACCTTTAAATCAAATAGAAAAGCATGATCTCAGTTACTGTAGTCCAATGTGAGTAATCACACAGGACATTAAAATGAGAAAATTATTTTTAGATTCCCAGGATAAATAAGTTCATATAAGAATGAAATGGTAAAATGAATTTGGATAGTACACTAGGTAGGTCCTTCTTTTATTTGGGATGCCCTCAGACCCAAGAGCATGAAACAATGTATGTTGTTTCCTTTCTTCAAAATAAATATATAAATGCAAATTCCAAAGACTTCTGAAAAATCATCGTATCCTGGGTCCAATACTGATCAAGCCAGATAAATCTACTTGCTAGATTACAAACAACTGGTCAACCCACAGGACACCTTCCAGCCTTTTCCACCAGAGCTATCTTCTTTCAGTTGTCCTCCAACTCTTATCCTTCTCCTTCCTCAGATCACTAATCTACACTTACTCATCTCACAAGTTGACCTTTAATGATGCTAAAATGTTGTCTTCTTTTCTCAGAAAATGTCAACTCACACTCATGGACTAGTCTATGGTTTTAGTTCTAAACACATGTGAACACACTTGAGCTGTCTATATATTGCCATTCTTCATTTTTTATTACCATGCTTCTTTCTTTTTTAAAATTTGCTAGGGCATGGTGGATCATAATTTTAACATCTTTTATAACTCCATGAAACCTTGACATCAACGATGTATAGCAGTTTTCCAATAAATATCATGAATGCAGTCACAACATGCAATTTAGAACCTGAAAATCTAAAGAGGTCTATAGGCAGAAAAAACAAGTTTTTGAATTATGATCACCAAATCACGGTTTCTATTTCTCAGATGTGATTTTATTCTTAGCCTTTTCATGTATCATAATAAGAATATAGCCTGCACTCTGAGCCTTGGCTGAATCAAATCCATAGTATTGTGTTACACTGAAATATGGAGACCCCCTTCATATTTTTCTCCTAAAGTTTAGAACTGAAATGCATTTGCTATTCATGTGATTTCACCCTCAAATAATCTGCTGATACTTTAAATTTTGCATTTAATTGTATTGAATTGTCTCCAGAGGATCAAGAAAGATCAAGCAATTATTTTTAATTATATGCACACAAATCCCATGCAACATGCTTACCAATAATTTATTTCTATTTCACCACCTAATTTGAATGTTTGCATTCATGAGGAGGAATAATAACTGATTTGTCAATAAAGGAAAATGATGGAATCCTGGTAGACCCTCCTGAAGAGTGCTTTGCTACATTTGCTGCTTATAAAGTACTCAATCAGTGTTTCAAATAAGTGAACGTGTGCAAGGATTTATGTACTTGATCAGTCTGAGCCATCAAAGAAAAAAGAAGATAATACAGACACACAATAATAAAATAAATCCAAAATGCTCAGGGTCAGCAGTATTCTGATTTGGATGCTTTTCAGATTTTGGAATATTTGCACCGACTTTATGGGTCAGCAGCTCCACTCTGGAAATGCAAAGTCTGAAATGTCCCCAAATCGAAAACTGGTACTAAATTTGAATAATCACATACTATATACTTTCCTTCATCCAGACTTACAAGAGGAAGGTAGATGATGACAGAGCTGTGATTTGATGAGATCTAAGGATTTCCTTGATCAAATTTTATAGTGGGTAAGTTTGTTTAACATGGGCTTAGGTTATCCTCTTGGGCTTAACCACTGTTCATGCCACCTAGATATTATTGAAACTAAACACTGCAAATAACTCTGATGGTAATTTCTTATCCATAGAAACAGTTGAATCGGGGATCATGGGTGACTGGAATTCATATATACAATACAAACTCATCTTAGCTAGTATAATCACATTGTTTTTCTTGAAAATTATCTTGATACTGATACAAATAATAGATTACTATTTCCCATTATTTCTTTTATTAACTATCAAAGCTCAATGTTAGTGTTTCTCATTATTTCTTTTTCTCTAGTAGTTACTATAGACGTTCCAGAAATAAGGAATTGGCCACTGATGTGGGAATAAGCAAAAAGAGAAGAGTCTCACATCTTCATGATTTCTTCATTGAACCCAAACTTCTCAAACACAAACCCGGGTCTCTTCTTCAAGAGTGCATTTACATATAGACATGTCAATTTCCTAAGTAGGGAAAAAATGTGCTAACGAGTAACCCAGAGACAATATTGAACTAATTTCTTCAAGAATGTCAAGGTCACACAGTTGAAGGTTATTTGCTAGGGAAGCTGTGACTTTATCTCTAGAGCATGAGGCCTTCACAAGAGTAGGTTTTCTAACTTATTGCCTATGTAAACCAAGATTGCCTGAAAGTTCAATCCTTCCTTACGACCCTGTCTTCATACCTTCCTTCCCCAAGCAGCAAGGCCTCTTCCCTGACCTGAATTCTTGCCTTCATTTCAAAGTAAAATAGATGTCCCACCTGAGAAACTATCCACTTCCTCAGAGTATCTGCACAGATGTCTGCTGCAACTGTGCGTGTGTTCTCTAGGATGCTGGTTCTTCTTGGGCAATCAGGATGGAGTTTTATGAACTACCATTAACAGACAAACAATAAACCTTGGATAAAGGTCACATTGCCTGATGTAACTCCCAAAGTTCTGTATATCTATTTAGAATATTCTAGTTACTTAAAAAATATTTTACTTATTATTTTTATTTTATGTGTATGAGTGTATTGCCTGCATGTATGTGAGTGCACCCATGTCATGCAATGCCGTGGAGGTCAGAAGAGGGCATCAGATTTCCCTGGAACTGGAGCTAAGGATGATTCGTAGCTACCATGTGGGTGCTGGGAATCGAAACCGGGTCCTCTCCAAGAGCAGTCAGTGCTCTTAACCACTGAGCCATCACTCTAGATCACTTTTATTTTATTTTATTTTTTGAGACAGAGTCTCACTATGTAGCCTTGACTGGTCTCAAACTTCTGACATAGAGGAGGATGGCCTGAAATTCAGAGTTCTGCCTCTGCCTCTTTAGCGCTGGGATTAAAGTTGTGCACCACCACTGTTGGTGGTTTCTTGTTACTCTTAATTCTCTCTTAATAAATCTTTTTAGATTTATTATTTGTATTTTGCATGTATGAATGTTTTGTCTGCATGTATGTAAGTACACCTGTGCATTCAATGTCTACAGACGTCAGGGATTCCCTGGAACTGGAGTTACAGATGATTTTCGGCTGCCATGTGAGTACTGCGAACTGAGCCCAGGACCTCAGCAACAATAGTTGGTGCTCTTAACCACTGAGCCATCTCTCCTGCCCTCTCTTAAAATCTTGAAGGAAGCCATCATTAATTTAATTAAACATACCAATAACTGAGTTTAATGAAACTATATAATGGATAAATAACAATTTAGATAAAGCATTTTAAATAAATCCAAACAGGAGGGATCTTTTCACTATCACTGAATTATTAAATTATAGTTTAATAAAATCTGTGATAGTGCCAGGTGCTTGTGAATTTAAATCATTCTGAGATTTCTTGCCTGGAGATGATCATTACTTCAAAGCCTGGCCTTGCCAGCTCCCATCAGATACAGAAACTCAGTGATGTTTTTAGGTTACAGAGTTTATCTGATAACTCAGAAAGGGCTGCTCCCTCAATTGTTCAGTTATTCCTTCTGTAGCAGTTCTGCTGTTTCTTTCTATAGTTTTCATAAGGCAAAAGTGGTTGCATGTGCCACGAACTTTATTTTTCTTATTTGGACAAATGGAATACTAAATGCATGAGAAAATATTGCAATGCTTTACAAGTATTTTAAAAAATGTAATTAAACTCTTATTCTCAAAAGTTGACAAAAGGTGAGACAAGTCACCTTTTTTGAGGAGACACTAGCAACAGATGTAAAACTGTTCTTTGCACATTAAATGTGACAGGGCAGCAAACTAAAAAACAATAGCGAATATGCTGAGTGGCATCAAATGACAGGTCATGTCCACACATCCCGAACAGTGGAGCAGGTGAAGATCAGTAATGGAAGCCACAGGATACATGTGATATCAGTATCTGACAGGAGAAAGCAAAAGGGAAGTAAGGAGCATCCATGACCACCAGGCGAAAATTAAGCTGAGATGCAGAGGGAATGCAAGGGGCCTCTGAAAGGTCCTGGGAGTCCCTGCACCCTGATCCTTTAGCTCCCAGCATTAACAGGCCAAAGCTCCCTTCCAGAACACTCCATATCCCTTCTCCACCACGCCACTAAAGAGAAACAGGTGGAAAGAATCTTCAAACAGAACAGGAACAGCAGCAATGAAGGGCGAGGAAGGGCTGTGCACAGGACTGGGGAAGGAACTGGGAACCAGGGAAACTTGCAGGCTAGCTGATTTAGTTTTGGATGTTCCCTTCTAAAAGTTCACAGAAGTAACTCCATAGAGCAAGAAACAAGGAAAGTAATGAAATTCAAATTCCATATATGAATAATGAGAGAGTAACATCCCATTGGGAAGAAAGTGAAGAAAGATAGGCAGGAAAACAGACGGGACGTGTTATTTCAAAAGGAGCCAAAGTCAGCAAGGAAATGAAACAAGGTACAACAGCATAGACATACATAAGAATCATAGAAACTCAGCGAGTGGGTGACTGATTTCAGTGAACGATTCAAAATAAGTGAAAAATATTTTTTTCAGAAATGAAAAAGAAACAAGATTAATAAGTACAACAAA